CAGTGTTTCAATACATATGATTGGTTTGTGTCATACAATCGGATGCCTTGTATTGACTGCACAAATGCCTTATCATTGAATGTCTCGGATGTCAAACCAAATGCAACACAAAATCACAGTTTAATCCATCAATTGTTTTGCTGTTTTGTCCCAACATTTCTATCCAACACTCAATCCATACCTCATTTTGGCATTTATTTGAATATTAATCAACATTTTGTTCACTCTTTTGGTTAAATGTTTGTTTCGTTTTTAGTTTTAATTATAATTTCTAAATAAAGTGTTTATTTATTTATGATTTTTGTGGACAAAATACGTCAGTAATTAACAGACAATTTTGGGATCAATTACTAGTAATTGTTATATGAATTGATTGTTTTGTGTGGACATCACTCGCGAGTGAAACGCCGACAACTTGTTCACCGATTATCACTTGAGATGTAAAACTCATTTCCGTTTTGAAACCATTACTTAAATAAAACATTTGATTTGTTTTTTATGTTTGATTTTGTGGTCACGTCTGAAGTGATATATCGATGAAAACAATGGGTTTATTACCGCTCGAGTTCACCGACGGTCTGACGGATTCGCCGTACTTTCGGGAGAAGATTCAAACACATGAGCGAGAGATGGACCGCATGAACCTCGCCATCAAATCACTGATCAAAGAGGTCAAAGACCTGCTCACCGCCGCCAGAAGTGAGTCCAACACATCCCACTCAACACTTGCCCACACTTTGCCACCCATTTGTTGATTTGTTTTGTCAATAAATGGCCTGTCATTCAATTGTTACTAATTGTCGTTTGTTTTGTTTTGTTTGATCCGTCAAATGAAAGGTCTGTCTCGTGTTCAGCGATCAGTTGCCGACACTTTAAGTAACTTCAGCTTTGAGTGCATCGGAAGCAGTCAAACGGACGACGAAATTGTAATCGGTTTGTGTTTATAATTAATCTAATTTGAAGTGTTTTGTGATCAAAATGTCTCGTTTTTGTTGACCCAAAGCCGGTTCGCTCAAAGAGTTCGGCCGCTTATTGTCGACGATTGAGGACGAAAGGGACCGAATGGTATGAATTACATGTAATTGTGTTTAAATGATGTGTAATTAATGTCTGAATTGATGGCCTCACAGTTGGAGAG